TTCTAATTAACCCAGCAAATGACATTAACTAGTGCCTGTAAATGATTTAGACGGTTAACACGGTTTTTACACAGTTTAACGAACTATTAAACCAACTCAAGGTTTAATAATTTATCCCAAAGTGATCTAACGAAGAATAAATCAAGAATTACCTTTCATGTCAGCGGAGTATTTATTAGATATGCTCTGAAAGGATTAGAGTTCATTCACAAGAAGCCGGAAATAAAGTGAAAATTTACGGAAGAGAAATCTGGATCTTCTATGACACTATCGAACCTGAACCTATTCCGATGATATTCCAGATATACAACAGATCCGCCGAACTGCTGACAATAAAGTTATTTCAACAGAACTTTCTAAGCTCTTTGGAACAGTTTCAACTAAACGTAAATTTGGCGTTCAAGGATTTCTTTACCGTTTGAGTTTAAGAAGTATACTTTATATTACGGACATGTATAGCAGTATTATAACCCTTCCTGCATGGCTTTATATGATTCTGTTTAGCCTATGGGTACTATGGCATTCGCTGATTGATACACCGCACTCGTCGCACCAAATGTAGATAGATTCTTGGTGCGACCTTGGTGGACTTCTGAAAAGTACCCTATGTTGGTACTGATATATGTAAAAAATGATGTATTGTTTTTAATATAGTTATTTTTTCTGTATTATATCGCATACTTTTATCATGTTTTTAAAATTATAAAACCTCAGAGAATATTTAAGAATAAAGTACTATCATTTAGACCTTGTTTTTTATACCTAGTAAAGAGTTCTGTTATAATAATTACCTATCTCATCAAAACCATAGAATGTAAAAAATGCCAAGTTTCTCAACGCAATTCTTCCACTACATAAAGTTGTGAGATCTCATGTAAAACCAAGCCAGATATTTTATTTAGCTTCTATATGAGCACCTATTCAATCAAATCAAACAATTTTGTTATCAACAAAATTATCAAAATCAAACAATTTTGTTATAAATTGTTAGTATCAATATTTGTATCTTTGTTTCGGTAATAATTATAATGACTTGGCAATTGCACAGCTCCATAATTTATAAAATAATCTACCATTTCGATTACTAAGTAAATCTAAACAGTAATTATTTTAATTAATAAAATATATCATACCGTGCAATTACCAAGTCATTATAATTATTATAGCCAAAGATATTTAAACTCAAGAGATACAATTGTTTACCTTTTTCCTTCATCGGTCATTATTCTATCCTTATTTTCGCATCTCTCTTACACTAAAAATATTTGCCAGATTTACCTGTATATTGGTATTAGTATTCGATTAAATACCACAACCAATTATTAAGTAATAAATAATTTCGTTATATTTCTATAATATATCAAGTACATTAATTTGCTAACGTCAATTTTTTCATTTAATGCTTAACTATTTTAAATTTTATAATGGAAAAAATATCACGATCGTGTTTCTTTTAATAATAAAAAGCAGTTTGGCAACGTCAGTTTTAGAAATATGCCGGCGTAGTACAACGGATTTCGAGGATGAATGAAAATTCCTAGATTCTCCTGTTGCGATGTTGCTATGCCGCCGATCAAGCTCCGCATTCTTTATTTGCAGTATTATAGTATTTTTGCGTTATTTTGTGGACTTCTGTGGACATTAATTTGAAAATATGGTGCATTCATGTATTGTGTACAAGAGAGTGTATCATTTAAATCCAAATTTAACTTTTCACCGGGAAATAAAAATAAGTAGGGTTAGGTATATTATTATATCCTCTTCTCTGTAGATCAGAGGCGGACCTAGACATAAAAAATAGCAGATTTCTAAATTATATTTATTTTTAGGTTTATTTTTTAAATTGTATATTTATTAATTTATTATGTTTTTTAAATTATATATTTATTGATTAAATTATTTGTAGAAAAAAGGTACATGGTATGTACTAATTACTAATAACTTAATAACAATTTCTGTTTCCCTTTTAAGAAAGGGTACTGAATAAGTATAATCTAGGTACCCACTTGGGTTTGACAAATCATTACCTACCTTTTGTGAAAATTTTATTGGGGTGTACCAAAAATGGAATTTTGCGACCTTACGTTTTTGTTGCCTTTACAATTTAATACGGCTTTTGTTTTAAATTTTGGTTGCTATAATGTAAATGGACATCTTTTGACATACATATAATTATTGTACTTATTACATGAATTTTATGACTACTACATTTTGTTGTATTTTTACATTTTATTGTATTGAAATTCTTTGCACATGCACTTTTTATTATTTATAAACAATATGAATTTTCCTTTACAAACCAGAGAAAAAAAACTAAATATTTTTTAAGACTAAGGAAAGAACCGTTTACTAAACAATCGCCATTTTATTTTATTTATGATTTTCTAAAATAATCGCTAAACTTTTCTGATGACTGTATTATAATATCAAATAATTTTGTTTAGATTTGTAATAATTTCATTTAATGACATTCATTTATCGAATTTTAACTACAGAGCAGACTCCCTATTTGTTCTCATTGTTTCACTACGTTGACCATGATCATTCGACTAGGCAAGAGCATTATTTTAAAATTCCTCAACACCGAACATCTAACTTCCAAAAATCTTTCAGTTTCATAGCGCCACATTTGTGGAATAATATTTCTAATAACTTTAAGTTTCAATCCTTTACAGATTATAAAAAACAAATTAAAAATAATTTACTAAATTCATAACAATAAATCATTTAAAAAATTATAATTTCTTCGACTGATTTGTGAGGTCCTTGTTCTTCTGATATGCCCGTCATAGGTTGCTGTTCCGGTTACACTGTTTCGTTATGCCTCTCTGCTTATCTCCGCTCATCCCTGATAAAATTATATTTTCAATTTTTTTTATCTAATTTTATTTTTTTTAATTCTGTTTATTTTTATAATTTAATTTATTTCTATTTTGTTTTTGGGGTCGCACCACTCTGGGACTTTGTGTCATTGTATCGGTTTTTTAATCGCGGTGCGATCCCTTTAGACACACATTTTAGTAATTCTAAAATGCATATAGGTATATAATAAATATACATATAATAATAAAGTTTTTATCAAAAATATGTGAAGTCTACAAATATTAGTTTTTGGTAAAATATTGTGTTACTAGGTTAAAATAACTATTTTATTTTGTTATTGCTAATAGAGGGAGTCTCATTCACCGGAGATGAACAAGGTTTGGAACAAGATATTGAAACTGCATTTACTAATACACCCAAAATTTGATATTTTATTTAATAAAATAAAGTAAAAAACGCCTTTTGATTTTTTTAATCGTTATTCTTATGTTAAAAGCCATCTTATAATAAAAAAATTATGCCGGTTTTATTTATTTCGCTATCCTCCCTCAACTTATTTTTTTCCTATTAATATCCTCCCTCAACTTTTTACAATGCGACAAATATGTAAGTGTTATTATTATTTTTTTAAATTTATTAAACAATTATTTTTATTTCCTTAAAATACTGTCGGTCGATCGGCACGCCACTGGAAATTGACCTCAACCGTCTAAACTTTGTAAACAACTACATTGTTGCCGTTGCGCCGATACCCTATTCCCTTCTTTGTCCATTCTCTCTCGCACTCGTTGATTTTCGCAAACCAATGTGTGATGAAGGTTTAGAACGTTTTATGAATGGATCGTTGTATCTCCCGAGTTTAAATATCTTTGATTATAGCCAATAACATCCCACGAATCATATCAACCAGGTGTTAATTATACAGTGTGTTTCAAAAAAATGTGCCATCTCTCGTGGGGAGATTCCTCACGTAAAAATAAGATTTATTTTTCATATTGACATAGGTTCGATTCTGCTTTGTTTCGTAGCTACAGGGTGTTAAAGTCTTAATATTTTTTCGATTTATTATAATTTTCTTCCAAGTACTTTTACTTTTTTATTCGAAATGCTGAATAAAATGTGAGGGTAAAAGTTACTATAAGAGCTATATATTTTAATGCTAAAAAAGTGTCGATACATTCACCAAGGACGTGCATATAGGTTATCACTGGAATATTTTTCAAAAAAAAAACATGTGCGCCACTGACGTTTTTTCTTTTGATATCAAAATTGTGTAGGCCGTTTAATTCCAATTAAAAGTTATCTCTTGATATTTTGTCAAAACTGGTCTCCTTGATGAGATAAACACAATTTTATTAATCACAATTAATAAAATTAAAAAAAAAATAAAATTCATAAAGTATATATTTTACCTAATTTGCTATTAAATATTATTACCCTTAGTTATTATTACTATTACTCCAACCTACAGTACAGCAATTTCAAATAAAAAATAATAACCAATAAAAAAAAATAAATAATAAATAATCTTGTAACTCTAAAACCATGCATTTCCATACCCATGTTTATAGGAACTTTTTTTCATATTTTCTAATGAGGAATCAATGGGTAGTTATTTTTAAGACTTTCGCAAGTTAATGATATTAAAATATTTTAAAGGTTGCTATTAGACTTGGATCAAGGCAAATTAATAAAATTGTGTTTATCTCATCAAGGCGGCCGAAATCGACAAAATATCAAGAGACAAACTCTTAATCGGCATTAAGACTATTTCGCTAACAAGAGAGAAAAAAGTCAGTGGCGTTCATCCTTTTTTTAGAAAAATATTCCAGTGATAACCCATATGCACGTCCCTGGTGAATATTTAGACACTTTTATAGCTTTAAAATATGTGGCATTTATAGTAACATTTACCCAGGTTCCAACCCTCAACTGTAACTTTTACCCTCAAAATTTCATTCACGCTAAAAGTACTTGGAAGAAAATTATAATAAATCGAAAAAATAATAAGACTTTAACACCCTGTAGTTACTAAACAAAGCAAAATCGGACCTATGTTGATATGAAAACGTATTTTTGCGTGAGATTTCTTTCCACGAGAGATGGCACATGCTTCTTCAAACACCCTGTATCTTCACTTTTATTTATTTTTTCAAGTAAAAAAACTCAATTTTTCATTTAATAAAATTTTTATTCATACAAACACTAAAAATGGAGTGTTAGTCTGACAGTATTTGGTAACAAGAAAGATACATACAGTATAAACATTATAAAATGACCAAAAGGGAACAAAACGTGCAGTAAAAATACCTGCAAATTTTAAGCCCAAAGGCGATAAAAAATTTCAGCTATCTTTGTTGAACGCTTTATCATGCATATACGGACAGCTTATTAGAATAGCTAACATAATCTATTAGTTATAACATTGGCATCGTTCAATTAAAATAACTACAATCTAAATTTAGCCGCTCTCAGCAACGGATACAAGTCTGACGTGCACGTTCCCCTGAAATCGTCCAAACTGATGTCTACCAGAGCTATACCGCCGAGACCTTTGGCTTTAACGTAGCTGGCCTTGTTTCCAACGGTGTCTGGATCCTCGAAACCCACCCAAATGCCGTTATTGCCATCTTTGTCGGGAAGACGGAATGCGTAAGATCCTAAAAGAGAACAAATATAAACATTATTTAAAATAGAAAACTTTGTTTCCCATGGTGAATTTTCAAGAAATGTTACTACAGGCCAGTAAACGTAGCCGAGTATTATATATGTAAAGGTGGAAAAAATTAGTAACCAACCAATCTCAACGGGAATATGTAGATAATGATCTCCTATTTAACCCCTCAAAAGCCCCATTCGATCCCAGTGGGGGAAGTTTGAAAAAAACCGCCGCCATCTTGGATTTTTTCGTTTTTTTTTCAAATATCTCCGTTTGCTTAACTTTTTGGAAAAAACTAAAGATATGTTTTTTTGTAGAGAATTAAATTTAGAATATTCAACCTTCAATTATTTTTTTTTCTAAAATAAATAGTAATAGAGATAGAGCAATTTTTTACTATACGTTTTATAAATTTTCCAGTTTTTTTTTAAACCAATCAGTTATAATTTTTGCGTTAACAGTATAGTGTTAATATAGATAAACCTAGTATTAATTTATGCATTAAACCAATTAAAAATAACGTTTAAATATTATTTATTAAATAAAATTATTATTAAATTAAAATTATTAAATAAAATCTGCCATGACGTCATCCTGAGCGTCATTTTCGTCCTCAACTAAAATACAAAAGTTTGTACAACTGATTCCGTAGCACTAACCACACTTTGAAGAGCATTTAAGACCCAGTTTTCTACAAGAGCAATTTTTAGAGCACCGACTCTCTTTGCAATTGCAAAAAATTAATTTTAGTAGGTCAGGAGGCGCCACATCTTCTGTTGATTGTATATATAGGTGTCAGATTGCCTTGTTGATCTTTCTTCCATCCATATTGTAAAGGATCTAACTTGTTACCAATCCATTATTGAATCTAGAAAATACAATTTATAACATTTCCTATAATAGATACAGTGGTGGCCAAAAGTATGGAAACTTTTTTAATTTGTCATTTATGCTGAGAAATTAAAATATGAAATAAAACGACTTATATAATCGTGACCTACAAATAATTTCCTACAAAACCTAATACATTTAAATAAAAAATTACAGCTATCAAAAAATATATAAAAAATTATGAATATTTTCTTGGTCAAAAGTATGGAAACTTAAGAAGAATGTTTATTAAAATTCAAGATAATATAAAAATTACTAATATTTAGTGGAATATCCCTTTGAATTAATTATTTCTCTACATCTTCGTGGCATCGAATCGATCAATCTCGTACAATCTTTACTGGAAATGGCCGCCCATTCAGTTTTTAGCACTTCCCATAATTCATTTTTATTTGAAATAGAATGGCTTCGAATTTTCCTATCCAAATGGTCCCATAAATTTTCTATGGCGTTAAGATCCGGAGACTGTGAGGGCCAATCCATTAGTGGAACATTATGTTCATTTAACCAATTTTGAACAAACTGAGATTTGTGCTTGGGATCATTGTCTTGCTGGAACAACCATCTGAGTGGCATTTCTTCATCAGCATGAGGCAGCATATTATTATCCAATATGTCTTTGTACAAAAAACGGTCCATTATCCAACCTGAGCGAGAGGACCAACACCTGAGCGAGAAAAACACCCCCACACCATTATACTCCCACCCCCATGTTTTACTGTGAGCATCTGGTACTTATGGCTGTACCGTGTACCTTTTGGTCTTCGGATATAACGTCTCCCGTCACCACCAAACAGTTGAAACTTGCTTTCGTCGCTAAACAGTACATTCCATTTCTGATAAGACCAGGTGAGATGATCTTGAGCAAATTTAAAGCGGGCCATCCTATTTTTCTTTGATATTAGTGGTTTCTTCACCGCGACTCTTCCAAAAAGTCCCATGTCATCCAACCTTCTTCTCACCATGCGTGCAGACACCGATATTCCCCTTTCACCCATTTCTCGAGAAATGTCTGTGGATGTTTTTCTTGGATCTCCCATTGATATTCTCTTCATTACTTTCATTGTCCTGTTGCACAACTTTCTTGGTCTTCCTGACTTAAAAGCTGTTGAAACGTTCCCTGTTTTATTAAATTTACGAATTATTTTCGAAACGGTGCTTCTTAAAATGTTTAAATTTTTACTTATTTGAATTTGTTTATAACCGCTCTTGTATAATTCAACTATTTTATTTTTTAAATCCGTAGAGAAATATTTAGACTTGGGCATGATGTTTATATTTATCTGAAGTAAGTCGTACCGTTTATCAGCTTAAACTAAATAATTTTAATGTATTTATTTATGGTTTCCATACTTTTAGCCACAAGAAATCTATTGTTCTCCTACAAAAACTGCTAAACAGATTTTTTTCGCTGTGTAATTTTTGGAATACTTTTATTTGCTGATAAGCTGTTCGTTTATATTCCTGAGAGTTTAAGCATAGCAATATTTTCTGTGATATTTTAAAAAGTAAAAAGTTTCCATACTTTGGCCACCACTGTATATGTTTATAGTTACCTGAAAGTATGTCCTGAGTAAATGGAGTTTTGCAGAGTTCTCAGTTGGAGACCAAATTCAGCTAAATTAAAGGTCATCTTAAGGGCTTGTCTTGATGTAATTCTATTGTATAGAGTGTATCTCAGATGATTAATATGTTTAATATAGCTTGGGCAGTGATATAGCATTATAAGATAATTTAATCCTGACTGAAACAAGTCATCTTTGTTGGCATTTTTTCTAAAGTAAAGAAAGGTATTGACAAAGATCGTCATCTTTTTCAGTACCGACAGGAACATTTTGACTTGCTTCAGTCAGGATTAAATCCTTTAAAGCTATATCACTGCCCAAGTTATATTAAACATATTAACCATCTGAAATACACTCAATACAATAGGATTACATCAAGATAAGCCCTTAAAACTACCTTTAATTTAGCTAATTTGCCTCCAACTGAGAACTCTGCAAAATTCCATTTACTCAGGACATACTTTCAGGTAACTGCAAAGATAATATTTATTATAGGAAATGTTATAAGTTGTATTTTCTAGATTCAAGAATGGATTGGTAACGAGTTAAATCCTTTACAATATGGGTGGAAGAAAGATCAAAAAAGGCAATCTGACATCTATTCAATCAATCATAAGCCTCCTGACCTACTAAAATTAATTTTTTGCATTTGCAAAGAGATCCAGTGCTCTAAAAATAGCTCTTGTGGAAAACTGGGTCTTAAATATTCTTCAAAGTGTGGTTAGTGCTACGGAATCAGTTGCACAAACTTTTGTATTTTTGTTGAGGACGAAAATGACGCTCAGGATGACGTCATATCTGATTTTATGTAATAACTTTAATTTAATAATAATTTCTAATTATATTTAATAAATAATATTTAAACGTTATTTTTAATTGTTCTAATGCTTAGATTTATACTTGGTTTATCTATATAATGACACTAACACTATAATGTTAACGCAAAAATTATAATTGATTGGTTAAAAAAACTTGAAAATGTTTAAAACGTATATTAAAAAAATTGCTCTATCTGTATTACTATTTATTTTAGAAAAAAAATGATTAAGGTGAATATTATGATGCAGGTGATATATTCTAAATTTAATTCTCTACAGAAAAATGCTATATCTTTAGTTTTTTCGAAAAAGTTATGCAAACGGAGATATTTGAAAAACGAAAAAATCCAAGATGGCGGCATTTTTTTTCAAACTTCCCCCATTGGGACCGAATGGGACTTTTGTGGGGTTAAATCATTATTATCTACATTCCCGTTGAGATTGGTTGGTTACTAATTTTTCCACCTCAACCTCCTGACTAACTGGCCTATTAGGGTGGCTGCAACGACGTCCGTAATCTTGCTGTTAAAACATAACCGCTGGTTTTTTATATATAAAACCAATTGTTTTGTTTTAACCGCAGGATTACGGAGGTCGTTGCAGCCACCCTAAGTAATATTAGTAAATTGATAGTGTAACTTGAGTGAAGACGCACAAGGAAGGCAATAAAGCTCAAATATCCCAAGTCGGTTTACAGGGTGATTCGTCGCCCAAAAATATCCCAGAAATAAGTGAAAAATGTTGCCATTATTTTTTAAAATTTTCAAAGTTAAATAACTCGGTTATTATTAATTTATTTTAAAAATAGTAAAGAAAAATATATTTTTCTACAAACGTCAGTAAAAATATAATTTCTAACGCATGCTGTCAGTGCCTAAAATGTGACATTATGTCACTGATGGTAAAAGTCCTTTACTTTTAGCTTAAGTTAAGCTTAAGTCTTTTACGTCTTTTTAAGTCTTTTACTTTTAGCACTAGTGCTAAAAGTAAGTCATGTGATTTACTTTTAACACTGAAGCGATAATATTACCACAGCAACACTAAACTTTATAAATAATTTGATTTCAGAATAATATATTATGAATTATTCATTAACGTAAAAAGTAATAATACCTTGATCCTTGATATATACGACTATAAACTTGTTTGTAGAAAATAGTGTATGATATATGTGCTAAAAGTGATTTTATTTTGTCGATTTTATTATTATTCCAAGGGATTCGAGGACGAAGCTTACCTTCTCACAAAATAAAATACCACTTTCAGCATTTATATCATAAATAACTATTCTTTTGGCCTAGATCTACCACCCTTAAAATACTTGCACTTATTTCTAGGACACCCTGTATAAATATGTGTCGCATGGCCGTGATAGGTAATAAAAGTAGGGTAGTGATGAGCAAGACTCATGTCCAAGACAAAGCCCGACAGTACAAGATTAACGCAAGACCAAGACCAGCATGCAAGATTCTTGCGGTCTTGCATTTTTAACATTTTAGGGTTCCGTACCAAAGGGTAAAAACGGGAACCCTTTACTAAGACTTCCTGTCCATCCGTCTGTCACAAAGCTCTATCTTATAAACCGTTATAGCTAAATTCAGTTGAAAGTTGAAAAACAGTTGAAATTTTTACAGATAATGTATCTATGTTGCCGCTATAAGAACAAATACTAAAAACATAATTAAATAAATGTTGATAAATAAAAAAGTACTTTCATTAAACATTATCTTTTAAGTAAGAATTTTAACAACAAGTCATCGGTGGCCGCGTGGTTTAAAACGTTAGGACTTTACGCTGCTATGACGTTGGAGTTGGAGCCGTAGTAAGGCAGGTTCGAATCCTAGTCAAGGCGACTTTTTTTAATCGTTTTTTTAATTTTTACATATTAATTTTTACTTTTTACATATTTATTATTGATTAATACATTTTTATTTGAAATAGAATGGCTTCGAATTTTGCTATCCAAATGATCCCATAAATTTTCTATGGGGTTAAGATCCGGAGACTGAGGGCCAATCCATTAGTGGAACATTATGTTCATTTAACCAATTTTGAACAAACCGAGATTTGTGCTTGGGATCATTGTCTTGCTGGAACAACCATCTGAGTGGCATTTCTTCATCAGCATGAGGCAGCATATTATTCTCCAATATGTCTTTGTACAAAAAACGATCCATTATCCCATCAATTTTAACAAGAGGACCAACACCTGAGCGAGAAAAACACCCCCATACCATTATACTCCCACCCATGTTTTACTGTGGGCAGCTGGTACTTATGGCTGTACCGTGTACCTTTTGGTCTTCGGACATAACGTCTCCCGTCACTACCAAACAGTTGAAACTTGCTTTCGTCGCTAAACAGTACAGTATTCCATTTCTGATAAGACCAGGTGAGATGATCTTGAGCAAATTTAAAGCGGGCCATCCTATTTTTCTTTGATATTAGTGGTTTCAAAACAGTTGAAATTTTTACAGATAATGTATCTATGTTGCCGCTATAAGAACAAATACTAAAAACATAATTAAATAAATGTTGATAAATAAAAAAAGTACTTTCACTAAACATTATCTTTTAAGTAAGAATTTTAAAAACCAGTCATCGGTGGCCGCGTGGTTTAAAACGTTAGGACTTTACACTGCTATGACGTTGGAGTTGGAGCCGTAGTAAGGCAGGTTCGAATCCTAGTCAAGGCGACTTTTTTTTAATCGTTTTTTTTTTAATTTTTACATATTAATTTTTACTTTTTAGATATTTATTATTGATTAATACAATTTTTAATAATGTGTTTTTTCATTTTTTTTAATTACTTATACGCGCATTCAAAATTTCAGCTAAATCGGAAAAAAAGTTTATAATAATATAGTTGTATGCGTAGATAATGAATAGTACGGAACCCTTCGTGCGCGAGTCCGACTCGCACTTGACCAATTTTTTATTTACATTTAAATTTTCATAGATAATATATTTTGAAAAAAAAATCAATTTCTATATATTTATTCGTCGCAAAGCATGAAAAGTATATTAGTGGTACGTACCGTATCTTTTAGTAGTATCGGTAACGTTCCAAAATTGATTGTCTAGTTCTGTAACGAGGAGAGGAGACATAATATAAAACTTGTTCAGAGTACGGGGTGAGCCTTAAATAAGTGCAAATATTTTTAGGGGTTGTACAGAGGCGTGAAAGTGAAATATCAAAAGCGGTTCCACCGTTTCCACGGAAATTTCAAATAAAATAGTTACCATATACAGGGTGTCCCAGAAATAAGTGCAAGTATTTTAACTGGTAGTATAGTTCAACCCCAGAAACACGCCTATGAAGTTTTTTTCGCGAAAAAATTTTTGAAAAATTCGAAATTTTTTGAAAAAATGTTTGGAATTTTTTTTAGTTTTTAGTTAAAAAACATAAGTTCTTGATAATATGGCAACATAGGTATTAGATTAAATTTACAAAAAATAAAATCCAGAAAAGATCTAGTGGTTCTCAAAATTTTAGCCAAAAATATTTTTTTTTGTTAATTTTCAAAGTAAAATAACTCCGTTATTTGGACTTACTTGAAAAACGATAAAGAGAAAATATGTTACTTTTATCGAGATCTATCAGCCCTTAAAATACTTGCACTTATTTCTGGGACACCCTGTATAGTTCCAGCACCGCTCGCTAGATGGGAGTGAAACTAATTTTTAGGTTAGGGAGTGGCTACTGGTTATTGTCAGATTGCGTTAAATCATATTTTTTTTTAGTTTCCAACGGCTTCTGCCAACGACTATTGTCGTTGTCATAACGCCAATCATATTATCAAAATGATATCAAGGTAGAAATGCCATCACAGGAAGTGAAATATCTGGGAATAACCCTGGATAGTAAACTTCTCTGGAACAGGCATATTAAGAACATTACCAGCAAAGCCACAAAGGCTCTCATGATATGCAGAAGACTGGCGGGAAATAGGTGGGGCTGCGCCCCTAACATTTTGCGCTGGATGTATACCATGATAGTAAGACCCATGATTACTTATGGAGCAGTTGCTTGGTATACAAAACTAGAGCAACGTACAGCAAGGCAAACCCTGTGCAAAGTACAGAGACTGGCATGTATCTGCATCACAGGTGCCATGAGAACATGTCCAACAGCAGCAATGGAGGTCATTCTAGACCTAACACCACTGCATATTGTCGTCGGTAGTTATGCCAATGCGACAATGATTAGAATGGTCATTGACGGAAACAGTACTGGGAGAATTTTCAGGTCAGGGGCTTGGAACACCCTCAAAAAGAAAATTCCACTTCTCCAACTCCCAGTGGATGACATACCAAGAATTTACAACTTTGAGAAACACCTCACTGTAGTATTGAGTAATAAAAAGGATTGGAAGAAAGAAACGCTTACTCAGCATATAAAAGACCATACCATCACGTGGTATACTGATGCTTCCAAAACCAAAGCAGGGACAGGGATAGGAGTATTTGGGCCGAAAACTGAATACTCCGAACCAATGGGCACCTACCCCAGTATCCTTCAGGCAGAAATTTGCGCTATCGAAAGATGCGTACAATTTATCTTGGATAGGAACTATCGAAAACAGGAAATTGCCATCCTATCCGATAGTCAAGCAGCACTTAACGCGATCAACTCAGTAACCATCAATTCGAAGTTGGTCAAAGAATGCCTAGAGAAGCTCAACAAATTAGGCAAAGAAAATAAAGTCCTCCTACTCTGGGTGCCTGCTCACCAAGGGATAGAAGGCAATGAAAAAGCAAATGATCTACTAGGAAAGGAGCGAACTCCACTAACTGGACCAGAACCGTTCTGTTTTCCAAACGGGAACCAACTGAAAGCGGAACTGAAGAATCTGGAAGACTCCATCCGTAACTTGGAATGGGTGTCCTCCAACGGTCTAAGACACTCGAAAAAGTTCCTTAGAACTTATGACCGAGAAAAATCAAAGGTTTTCCTTGATTTAAGTAAAAACAATCTTCGGATTGTCACGGGGTTTCTAACAGGACACTGTCTCCTCAACGAACACCTCAGTAGGCTGAAACGAGAAACAACGGCGAATGCAGATTTTGTGGGGAAAATGGGGAAACACCAGAACACCTTATCACTGAGTGCCGAGACGACGACCATTCGTGCCTTGAACCTGGCACGTCTGATGTCGAGGATGGAGAGCTGGCCTCTGTGGAGCCGTCTCAGATACTGGCTTTTCTTAAAGCCCTGAGACTGTATGATGAGTTATAACTCGTTATAACTCAAGAAAGGGGAACACACAATAGATCTATAAGGTCGCGGTGATTAACTCCCCTTCTAAACATTCTACATTCTACATTCTACAAGGTAGAATTTTCATCACTTGTTGGGGTAGTGACCACAGAAACACGTCTGTGGGTTTTTTTTTTGCGAAAAAAATGAATATTTGGAATTTTTTGAAAAATGTTTTGGATTTTTTTTTAATTTTTAGTTAAAAAACATAATATCTTTATAAAATGGCAACATAGGTAGTAGATTAAACTTACAAGCAAGAAAACCCAGGAAAGATCCAGTTGTTCTCAAAATTTAAGCAAAAAATCATTTTTTTATTTTTAAAGTAAGATTTCTCGGTTATTTTGGATTTATTTGAAAAACGGTAAAGAGAAACTGTGTTTCTTTTATCGAGATCTACCAGCCCTGAAAATATTTGCACTTATTTCTGGGACACTCTGTATAAATATGTACTATTACTCTATCATCAATTAATTTCAATAAACGAATAATTTCAAATAATATAGAGTAATAATATAGAACTAACTCCACATATGCCTTTTAACACGAAAAGGTCTTTTGAAAAGAGAATGATTTTATGCAGTGAAGAGGAAAGGAAGCATTTTGAGCATTTGATTTCATCTAGCTAATTTTTGTCACATAATTATAGGTTTATATCTAGTTTTAATTCTGTAATAATTAAAATATGTTTTAAACGTTATCTTTTTATTACCGTTGGGTATTTTACTCTACAATCTTTAATGTTTGTTAAATTAACAAAAGGTATCACACAGCCACCCTAGATTTTTTCAAATAATAAGGATCTACTGACGCAAAATCATAAAAATTAAAATATCTAACCTAACCTTAATAATATTTTGATGATATATAAATTTCCCATTGAACACCGGAAAAATATACTGGGTGTCCCATTTAAAATAAAGGAGTAACTTGCTTTTAAAAGTGACTAATGTTCCATATTAATTTTGTCTCACTCTGTATAACTTTTCGGGTCAAATTTTAATTTGGTTTAAGATACAATGTTTACTGTAATTAAATATCAGGCTATACAAAGTCAACTAAAATTTAGGTAGCTATTATCGAAATTTAAAATTTACTCTTCATTTTCACAAAATATGAAATATGTCAAAATCCTTAGATTTTAGGTATATACTTCTTTAATAAGACTCATCTTTATTTTTTGCCTAGAATCCCAAAATCAATTAATATATAGGGTGTTCCATTAGAAAAAACATAACTTTGATGTGTAACTTTTTTTGGGGACACCCTGTATTATTCTATATATTTTTATAAATTGCTTTCAGTTAACCTACATATGCTGCTAAAATTTCATTTCGATATAAACTACTGTTCTCCTTAAAGCTTCCGCGGCGTATATATAAGAGGCGCTACCGTGTATAAGGTAGCGGTGATTAACTTAGTCCCTTCCCATAGAATATAAAATCTACCAGTCTTAGAGTAATACTGCTAGGAAACTACGTGTTTATGTGGGTGCCATTAGACTTACCATATCGTTTGGTTGGATCGTTGACTTTCCTAAGTTTACCAAGATACCCCGCTTGGATTTCTTTAGGAGTGGCAATTTTGTTGCAAATTTCTGGATAACTCAATAGTCCCGCCTCGTTTGAGTACTGTCCTGGTTCGGCAGCGCCATCTGTAGTTAGGGGAGGTACTCCGGTAAGTCCAGAGTCTTCATCGAGTTTCCATGCTCTACCGTAAGTAGGGATACCCAGGACTAGTTTGTTAGCTGGAATCCCACCTTGTAACCTATAGAATAAGTATATTATTAGATTGTGGTTAGAGAAAATGTGACAACTTCCTATTTAACTATTTTATTTTAAGTCTATGTATTTAACTAATTAACCAATCTAAGAGAGTAGTTTTAGGTTAGATACACAGAACGGTTTTCGCATTACTGAACTATTTTTTTTATGAAACTAAGGATGCTACACACAGATTTGCCTTCTTAGATCCTGAAATATAGAGTGATGCACGGCGATGGATGTTTATGGAGAACCGGTAATAGGACGTTTTTGAAAATTTATATTTTCACATAACGGCACCTGCTCCATCTTTCTAAAATGTTTTCAGCATTACAGTGTTGCCGCATCATTCGAAAAGTGGTAGCATCTTTTTTATTTTAAATGGAACACCCAGTATATTATTACATTTTTGGAAACTACTTTCATATCTCATTATTTTTCTATTATACTAACCTATACCTATCTCTAATAGTTTTTGAGATAAAAATTAAAACATGTGTAAAATTGACAAAAAAACATGATCGTGAATAAGCATTGGTATTGGTAATATCATGAATTAAACAATTTTAAAGTTGAAATTTGGGTTATAAGTTAACGAAAGTCGATATATTCGATGTGTCTAAATAAACCGAAACACAGGGCGAGCAAAAATATTATTTATTTCCGTTTGTTATAAAATTGCTCAAATCTTTGTTATTTTAAGTCCAACCCTATGAATATTATTTAAAAAACCAAAAGACCAATAAAATTGCTTTTCAACGATATATCATCTTCCAATACCTAAATCTTCCGGTTTCTTAAGTAGAACTATTTAAAAATTAATAATTAATAATTATTCTATTTTAGTACAGTCTCATTTCGAGAATTTCGTTACCATGACAATTTTAGAAATTTAGCACGTAAACTCTAATTGATACTTATAAACTATGAATATTTGTCATGGCAACGATTTTCTTTAAACAAAACAATTATAATCCAATTATTATTTTTTAAATGGCTTTCCTGAAGAGGAAAGGTCAAGCACGGTAAACTAATAGGATTGCTCATCCTCATAAGACGTACGTTCGCCTCTTCCCGCGCTTCAGCTGACAGTTGTGATGCCATTGTAGTCCTTGTCATGATAGTGTGTATTATTAGTTGCATATGGTGTACTTATAAAAATAACAGCTGAGAAATTTTGAGTTGATTATTATGTCAATTTTAAATGTGAAAAAGGTGTTTTTAAAGTTTTTAGAGCTATAGAGTATATAAATACGTTCATTTTGTGTTGTGCCTACGATAAGATAAGTGCCTACGATATTGTTTATTAATTATTTTAAAGCAAAATATGGAAATACTCTAAAAAGAATGCCTGAAAAGGTGATGCTGGGAACTATTGTTCTTAAAAATGCATTATCCGAGTATTTAATACGATTTATACAGTTAATTTTCTATACTGCATACATATAAGGTGTTTAAATAAATAAACTAAATAATGAACGTTTTGCACCCGGCAACCAATAATGCAAGTGTGTGTATTATTGGTTGCCGGATAAGGACTAATAACCATGACAAGGACTACAATGACGTCACAAAGCGAGGAGTTTTCGCATGCACCTGGCTAACACTTTTGGCTGAATGAGCGGTCCTATTAGGTTAACTGTTCCTGGGTTTAGGTATAAAATAGGAACATGATATATCATTGAAAAGCAATGTTATTTGAGTTTCGATTTTTTTAAATAATATACATAGGCTTGAATTTAAAATAACAATAATTTGAACGATTTTATAACAATCGGAAATAATGATTTTTTCTGACCTTTTTGTTTGGGGGACATCAGTTCATTCAGATAGATCGAATATGTCTTTGAATAAGAAGACTAAGGAAGGAGCATAATGCTATCCATGTATTCATGCATGGTGGGCGGAAAAACCACCATAAAAGCACTCTAGGGTGGGGATCCTTGACAGTTCTGTTTGACGATTGATTTGACACATTTGAATTTGATTTGAAATTTTGTGGATTTGTCGGTCTTTACGGAACTTATTTTATGTTATTTATTATTTATTCTACTACTGATAGTTGTATAAAGGTAGTAAATCTAGATGAAAATTGTGGCAGCACTTAAATTAACAGTGACATTATCGCGATTTATCGAAAAAGACTCTAAAATAGTTGGTTGTGTAGCGTGCGGTAGATCTCGGCAAAAATTGAGTGAAATAATGGAACAACTTTTCGCTAGTAAGTGACTATATAATATACATACGTGTAGTAAACCGATCATTTATGAAATTCACTTAAATTAACTAAATTATATATTTTTCCTGCATTTTAGCTTTTATTTATTACTTGTCAAAGATTAGATGTCAAAGAATTTAGATACGTTAATTTGACTTACCTGCTTCAGTAGCGTATCGGATGTTTATGGTAATAAATACTTATTATAACTTATCTATTTTTATTAGAATTATATATTTTTATAACAATATTAATAACTACCAACATTTATTCACAACGTAAAATAAAACAACAAATTATTGAGTCTACCCCATGTCTACCCTACATTATAGTTTTACATTTTTTAAATAAAATTAGAACGACACTGATAAACCGGAATTTAAGTCGGTCATATTTGAGGCCCATCGCGGTGTACCTAAGATTTTTGATATGTTCCTTCCTTAGTCTTCTTATTCAAAGGAATATGTCAAACTTTCCTTAACCTATAAACCAAATTTGTGGTCTTTCAATATGCAGAATTTATGATTTAACCAATGCTTATTCAAGATCATGTTTTTGTCAATTTTACACATATTTAATTTTTTATCTCAAAAACTATTAGAGACTGGTATAGGTCAGTATAATAGAAAAATTTTGAGATATAAAGGTAGTTTCGAAAAATATAATAACATATCGGGCGTTCCTTTTAAAATAACAAAACTGCTACCACTTTTAGTATGAAGCGGCAACACTGTAATGCTGAAAATACTTTAGACAGATGAAGCAGGCGCCTTTATACAAAAATCTAAATTTTCAAAAAAATCCTATCACCGGTTAAACGTCTAAGGGTACGAACATAGTGGAGGCAGGTTTCTGCTTTCCGGCAACCAGCGCCGTCTCTGGGGACCTATTCTTGACCACTCGCATCTTCAAATATCGCTCGCATCTCGCATCTCCTAAAAAGCCATATAACAATACACAGATGCGTAACTTTGCGTATATGCATCACGTGTATTGTATATGGCTATTTCGGAGATGCGAGAAGGATTCGGAACTAGATAATTAAGAGGAAATTTACCTGATTAACTAACCTAACCTAACCAAACCATATTCAAACGCCGCGCCCGCCTCGCCGAGGCCGCACATAGATGTATTTGGTCTATAAACCTGGCCAAAAGTGATATTTTTTATTTTCATTTTTTATCTTAACTGAATACAAATCTATAAATACTAAATGTAAGCACGTTTATTAGTTATTAGCTTTTTTAAGTCGTAAGTTGACTATCAAATAAATAATATATTTCAGTTAAAAGTATGAATTATCTTGACTGTATTCTGAATATTTCTAAGATTATAAAAATAGTGGAATTGTTTGTAGTGCTTTTTTTGCAAATTGTTCATAACAACTGATGGATACAGAGCCAGCTTTGTTTGTTTGCTCTGTTCTGTTTTATGCCATATTTTTATTTTGAAATGTTTCCTTCTATTTTTTTATAATGTTTTATATTTAAAAAATCAGTGGCATTTTTATAAGATATAAGACTATTCGGCAATATTCCGCATGGAAATTAGTATCCGTTCAATGCTTAAAGTCTCCAGCATTGGAATATGCACAAAAATCTTGCCAATATTTGCGACTGCCAAAAAAAACATTGATTTAAATAGATTCTTAAAGGAAATAGTCTTTACCCTATTAACACCCATCCTCGCTCAAATATCGTCTATAATATACAAATTACTTTCTTGTTCTAACATCCTCATCCAATTGCTTGGTTTTGCACAGTATGGCCCTATTTGATCGGTGGAAAAGGTTTCAGAGTAGAGGAAAAAATATTGTGTAGGAAAAACAAAATGGGGTTCCATATTAGCAACTTCTCCTCTAATTAATAATTAATATTACTAGCAAAAAAGCAAAATCATAAAACATAATTTTGGCCAACTTTTAGTTCTTAATACCCCCTGTGCGCCGTCGGCGCGTGCAAAAGCAGAAATAAATAAATTTTCGTTCCGGTAAAAGCGAGAACGCCGATGAACGCTGGTTGACGGTGCCTGCCTGCTTTCACTGTGAACTAGCCGATTTGATAACACGCTTTAATTTTTCAAGGTTATAAGCACGAGGCGGCGCGGCACGGCGCTACTATGTAACCATATACAGGGTGTCCCAGAAATAAGTGCAAGTATTTTAACTTAACTGTTAGTATAGTTCAACCCCAGAAACACGCCTATGAGGTTTTTTTCTAAATAATTTTTTTTTGAAAATTCGGAATTTTTTGAAAATATTTTTGGACTTTTTTTGCAATTTTTTTTAGTTTTTATTTAAAAAAAAATAATTTCTTGATAATATGGCAACATAGGTAGTAGATTAAATTTACAAGAAAGAAAATCCAGAAAAGATCCAGTGGTTCTCAAACAAATCTCGAAGTATTGGAAAGAATGTGTAAATAAGGACCAAGAACTATTGACTACAATAAAACGACGGAAAGCAGCATATTTTGGTTATATTTTTCGAAATAACAAATATAGTTTCCTACAGCTGATCGTTGAGGGAAAGATTGAAGGACGACGAGGCATCGGGCGTAAACGGTTTTCCTGGTTGCGGAATTTGCGCCAGTGGTTTAATATAGGAGAGGCCAGTGCAATTATCCGTTTGGCTCAAGACAGGGAGGAATTCCAATTGATGGTCGCCAACCTCCGATGAGGAGAAGGCACATGAAAAAGGTTCTCAAAATTTTAGCAAAAAATCATTTTTTTTTGGATATTTTCTTATTTGAAAAACGATAAAGAGAAAATATGTTTCTTTTTTCGAG